GAGGTAGACGAGGGTTTACAACGTTGCAGAAATGTGCTGCGGCCATTCGTTTGATGGCTATGGGGGAGTTACCCGACACCATGGACGACTATATGAGAATGTCCGAAAGAACCGCAAGAGAGAGTTTGTATACATTGTCAAGGGGTGTTGTTGAAACTTTTGGAGACGTGTATTTGCGGAAACCTTCGTTGCATGATTTGCAAGAATTGTATGCGGCGCATGAAGAACGCCATGGGTTTCCCGAAATGATCGGAAGCATTGATTGCACACACTGGAAATGGAAAAATTGTCCGGTAGCATGAAAAGGGCAATACGCAAGTGGTCATCACGGATCACCTTCGTTGGTGTTAGAGGCTGTCGCTTCTCAAGATTTATGGATTTGGCATGCATTTTTTGGGGTTGCGGGTTCCAACAACGACGTCAACGTTCTTGATCAGTCGCCAATATTCGACGATCTTTTGAATGGAAAAGCCTGGGATGCTCCTTTCACGGTGAATGGAAAAGAATACAAATATGGGTATTACCTTACAGATGGAATATATCCTCAGTATTCCACGTTCGTGAAGACATTCCGCCACCCGGTTGGAGAACGAGACAAATTTTTTAAGAGAAGACAAGAAGGAGCACGTAAGGATGTGGAACGTGCTTTTGGAGTGCTGAAGGCGAAGTGACATATAGTCGAACATGCAACACGACCATTGGATTTAGAAACTCTACGATATATCAAGTATGTATGTATCATAATGCATAACATGGTAGTAGAAGATAAAGGGCGAAATATTGCACACTATATCCCAACGGAGCCCAGACACGTTTAGTTTCAACCAAGAACAACAGATTATTTGCATTGCGTTGTTGACATCCAAGACGCAAATAAACACAGACAACTTCGAGAGGACTTGGCGGATTATATCTTCTATGGTAACAATAACGATAACGAATAGCATGGTATATATATATTTTTTTTGAATTTGGATGTTATTTCTTTTTTTGTTTTTGGATATTATGTGTAATTTAGTCTTTATGTTAATTTTAATCTTTAAAAATTTTTAATTGTTATTTATAATTTTTAAACATTATGTTTTATTTATTATGTTATATTTAAAAAATATTTATCTAAATTTAAAAAAAATCGAAATAAATAAAAAATAAATTATAAAATGGAAAAAAAATTGATGTAGATACAACATGTTTTTCCACTTGGTGTTATAACACCACTGATGATGTGACATGATGTGATGTACATTTAGTGGTTATAACACCGCTTATGATGTGGTGTACGTGTAGTTGCCCAACCTTAGGGTCTAAGTTCACGAATTTACCAATCAATTTCGCAATTTTAGGTTTCCATTCGTTACTTATCACCCTCATCTTGTCTGATTCGGTAGCCCTGTTTTCCCCGGTAAGAAATCTCTCTATCTCTGAGAACGGAACATGCATTTTGCATCTCGATTTGTTTACGCTGAAAAAACTATTCATCGGAAATCGATTTCGTGTTAATTGTTCACCTGCACCTTTCCTAATTGAGGCATGTTGTTCCCGGACTTTATTTTGATTTCCGTTAGTCGGTTACAGAGCCCTGTTTTTTCCTAAACGAGTCGTTTGCGAGATCGAAGAAGTTCTTTGATTTTGATGAGTGACTTCAATTATAAATTTTCATGAATGTATATTAAGTTTAATAATTTCATCATGTTTCACGATTGATTACACTTCCTTCTAATCATTGTCTTAATTGCTTGTTTAATTTAAGTCCTGGAAATGTGATTTTCCCTGTATATACCTTGCTACTGGTTTTACAGGGTTTAGCGACAAGGACAATCATGGACAGGTTTACTAGCTCTCCACGTCTCATGATCGTTTCAGATCTTGATCACACCATGGTAGGTGCTACTATCACACAATATACATTCAAAGAGATTCGAGAGTCCAATTCTTCACATTTAGATGTATCATGTTCCTAAAACTAAACCAAGACTAATTGCACCAATTAAGCCTACCTTTATGGACTTATTGCAGGTTGATCATCATGATCCTGAGAACCTTTCTATACTAAGGTTCAATGCGTTATGGGAGGCTAAATATCGCCATGATTCACTGCTAGTGTTCTCAACAGGAAGATCACCTACATTGTACAAACAATTAAGGAAAGAGAAGCCCATGTTAACCCCAGACATAACCATAATGTCTGTGGGAACTGAGATAACATATGGTAACAACATGGTGCCAGATGAAGGTTGGGTTGAGTTTTTGAATAAAAAATGGGATAAAAAGATAGTCTCTGAAGAAACAAGCAAGATTCCAGAACTCACATTGCAGGTATCAAAATCATTCATAGATAGCCTCATGTTATTCTTGATTACTTATAACAACATAGATGTTTATCTCCATTTAGTTATACTAGAACTACAATAATTTTGGTTTTTTAAGCCTGATACTGAGCAACGCCAACACAAAGCTAGCTTCTTTGTCAAGAAAGAAAAAGCTCAGGAAGTAATGAAGACACTTTCTGAAAGACTAGTCAACCGAGGGGTGAGAATTGAACTTCATTTTAAAACATTTAATGACATACTGTATTTAATTATTCATCAATTTTTTTTTCTTGTTTGTCAGTTAGATGTCAAAATAATTTACAGTGGTGGGATGGATTTGGATATTTTACCACAAGGTGCTGGGAAAGGACAAGCTCTTGCTTATCTACATAAAAAATTAAAAGACGAGGGTAAATTACCCAAAAATACCCTTGCATGTGGAGATTCAGGGAATGATGCTGAGCTTTTCACCATTCCAGATGTGCATGGTGTCATGGTGAACAATGCACAGGAAGAATTGTTGCAGTGGCATGCTGAAAATGCCAAAAATAACCCTAAAATCATTCATGCAAATGACAGGTGTGCAGGTGGTATCATAGAAGCTATTGGTCATTTCAATTTGGGGACAAATATATCATCTAGAGATGTAACCGATCTTTCAGATGCAAAGTTGGACCATTTTGACCCTGCATATGAAGTAGTCAAAATTTACTTGTTTTTCGAGAGGTGGCGACGTGCAGAAGTTGAAAGTCCTGATGTCTATTTGAGCAACCTCAAATCTGTTTGTGTATGTTACTAAAATGACCATTTTACCCTTACATTCCCAAGTAAAAGCAATTATAAGAATATTCATCAATCTTTATACATATAATTACATATGTAATCTCTTTTCTTTATGCAGTCTGCTTCTGGTGTGTTTGTTCATCCATCTGGAATTGAGCAATCTCTTCATGATTGCATTGATAAACTAAAAAACTGTTGTGGGGATAAAAAGGGAAAACAATATCGAGTTTGGGTTGATCAAGTTTTCCCATCACAGATTGATTCAGACACGTGGCTTGTGAAGTTCAAGAAATGGGAACAAACTGGTGAACAGCAACAGGGTTGTTTGACAACTGTTGTAGTTAGCTCAAAGGTAAGGGCTTTCAAAACTATCATTAATGACTTTACTACCCTTTAGTGTTTCTTGATGTGATATTTTTTTTGTTGGTTTTAGGGGGTGAAACCTGCAGAAGGGCTGACTTGGATTCATGTGCATCAGACATGGATCAATACCACAACACAGAATTGGTTCTTATAATTAATGCTTTCACAAATTAAACAACATATTTCATAAATTAAGGTTAAAACATGTAACCTTCAGAAACGGGTGTAATGATTTTTAAGTAGGTTTGTTATCGACAGTGTAATGTTTTTGCTTAAAATTGTAACACAAGTGTATATTATTTCCAATAAATTTATAAAAAAAAAAAAAAAAGTTGTTTATATATGATAAAACAATTATTGCCAATATTAGTTAGGAGGGAGGTAGCAAATATAGAAGAATATGACTGATCTTGTGTAAAGTTCTTTTGTTTGGTCATCTTATTTTGTTGCTAAGTTTGGTCCATTTGATCTTATCTTCTGGTAGATACATCTAACCTTGATGAACACAAAAAGAATATAGTTCTTACAAGGATATGGACTATAAAGTCATTTTTGACCTTCTGACACACTAATCTCTAGAAAGAAAATAATATTTATCTGATTTTTGTGAAGGAAACATTTTGCATAATTCCGTATATTAAAGGACAAAAGATGTCAATTTCATGTTCAAGTCGGCACTTGATGGTCGAAACTCGAAACAAAAAAAAGGAATGGCAAACTTAAAATCTAGCTTTTATTTTACCATAAAATATAATTAATACAAATCAAAAATTAAAGATATAAACCTTGAAAAGGATGAAATAAAAAGAAATAATGGAGTTCTATTGATTATTTAAATTCTGTATTTATGCATCGTTGACGTCTATGGATTCAAATCTTCATTGACATTAAAGATTTTGAAAAATCGTTTATGTTATTATTAAAATCCATAATTTCTTTGAATTGATCTAGATGTATTTTCGTCAAAAACACGTCATATTGGCTAATACATCACTGGCTGAAAATGATGTGTTTGTGTGTGAAACCTCCCGAAGAAAAAAGAACCATACTATTGATAGTTTGATCCTTTGATACGTTATCCCTACAGAGGAATATACACAAATATTCTTACATAAATTACACAAATCGTCCTTGGTGTTAGGGTGTTCGTTTGGATGAATCGGTTCTTACATAAATTAAACGAATAGTCCCTGCTATATAGTTTAAATTGCATGTTTAGTCCATACTTTTAACTTTAAACTCGGACCGTCTTTGATATGTTTAAAAATTGCATGTTTCGTCCCGCCATATATGAAATGACTATATTGCCTTACTAAGTACTTCTTATGTTTTTAATTCATTTATTAAATTATTTTAATTATTAAAATATATCTCTCTTCTCACGCCACTCTCATCACCCATTCACCTTCTACCCTCATCATGTCCTATTCATTTATAATCCTATTCACTTATAATCCTTATATGTCACCTATTTTTGTCTTTTGTGTTACTAATCGTGGAGATGCATATAAACACAAAACACACATGGGTGTTTGAGAGAGAGAGAGAGAGAGAGAGAGAGAGAGAGAGAGAGAGAGAGAGAGAGAGAGAGAGAGAGAGAGCTATGGTATACTTAATTATATTGCAAAATTTTAGGAAAACTACCCTTAGAATTCATGAAGGAACTACCTAATAATTTTTTGCAGAAACAAAAATATGTATCAGATTTTTGAACACCTATGAGCTATTTATATATTGCATTCCATATAAAATAGCACAATGCCTAAACCAATTTAAAATTTATCCAACAAAAAATAGACCAATTCATTAAAATTAAAATTAAACTAAAAAATAGTAATAATAAACAAAAGCCCACAACTAAATCGTCGCCTACATTTTTTGGTTTGGCGCTCCATGAAATCAGATTCACGAGTACATAATGCACACTGATACAACCTACATGCCAACATAATTGTGACATCGTCGAGCGGCGATCGCTCCTCCGGCCATGGCCACCGCCCACCGTCGCCACCAACCATCCTACCTCAACTCCGGTTTCACCCTTACATATTTGTTTTCACTCTTAATTTTTTATTTTTATTCCTTTACATAGACTTTGTGTTAATGAGAATGTTAGATACTTAGATAATTAGATTTCATCTTGATTACATTAAGAGATTATAGAAAGTTTTTTGTCTTGCATCTTGATTACAAATTTACAATGATAGATTACAAAATTTATGTTACTCTTGTGATTTTGTATTGCTTTGTCTATGTTAGCAAAACATGAATGATTGATTGGTTTGTGTAATTGTGTTGAATTTTTAGAATCAAGATTCAATAATGTCTTTACATAAGTTTTAAAAAAACATAAAGATAATGAGAAAGAGCAACATAAGTACACGAATGTTGATTTAAACTCACTACTTGTTGATCCGGCAGAATGATCAACTATTGAATGTTATCATGTGAAAATGATATATTGCAAAGTTTGGATTAAGATACGATTATCAATATATTTCAAGCTATAAGACCTCGCCAGATACAATTTTAAAAGCTTTGATATTTTGACTAAACCCGCTACTAGAATATTTTAGTTTGTTATATGTTTCGGTGTTATTTAAATAAGAAACCACGTGGTTTTTGGTTCTAGATTCGTCATTGGAGAGAGAGAGAGAGAGAGAGAGTGAGAGAGAGAGGTTACATAAAAAAAATTATTTTGTTTATTTTTATTGTTTAACCATTATATTTTTGTTTCATTAATGTTTGATCTTGCTATAGCAAGTTTAAGTGATCATAATAGAATATTTTGTTAAAGTTTAATAGTTGTACTGAAATTTTTGACACTAAATTTTCTATTAAAACCAAGGTTCTAAAAAACTCGTCATGACTTCTTCAAGGCTTGTATTTGATACCAAGTTTAATAAAATATCGTCTTAAGTCATATATGTATATAAAAATGAATAATAGTAGAATATAT